TGGCACAGGAAACAGCCTCTTTTCATCTGCTGTGATTTGCTGTGTCTTTGCAGAATGGAGAAGCTGATGCCATGAGCTTGGATGGAGGGTTTGTCTACATAGCGGGCAAGTGCGGTCTGGTGCCTGTCTTAGCAGAAAACTACAATAGTAAGTGATGGGAAGCACCTCTCTGTGTTTTCTTTCCTCTGGGCCATGGAGAGAGGAGATGGAAACATCACAGCCTGATTCATACCGCAGCTGCCATAAAGCTTTCCCTTTCTGAGCTCCTTCTACTTTGCAGGCTCTCTGAGCCCCTTCATCTCAAATCCCCACAGTCATCATGAAGGTTGGGAGTTATGGTACATTCCAGAAATGGGAAATGAAAGTTCTATACTGGGAAGTCCTCACTAAAGATGACCCCATTGCAAAGGACAGCTGGGATTTCTGGCAGTCTTCCAGGTTCCAAAACTCACACTCTCCCACTGCCCTGTGGCAGGGATTTAAATATAGTTGGCCAGCACTCCTCTGTGGGCTCAGTGCAGACAGAGCAAGAAACTTGACATTCACAGTTTCTGGATAAATAGTAGAGGCCAAGAGGTGAAATGGACTTGCATGATCCAGAGAGCCTGGACTTGTTGGGAATTGGTGACATGTATAGTTTTCTCTGACTTTCTTTATTCTTAGCTGCAGCATTAAAAAGGCATGATTTCCCAATCCATAAATAAGGATTTAATGCCTTCTTCATTTTTTTTTCTCCAGCAAAGAATCCTGATTGTGAGGAAAATGCAGAGGAAGGTGAGTTGGGATTGGTAATCTCTGGAGTTAAAAGGTAAATTCCCATTGTTTTGGGGAATTGGTTAGATTGATTTAAAATTCAAGTGTATAAGGCACTGTAAGAGACCAATTTTTAGAATGCAAGAGAATCATGGAAGGAGAGTAATTGATAATCATGGTTATTCCTTTACATTTCCCACAACTTGCACACAGGATGTTTCATTTAATGCCATAAGGTAGGTTTTGGTATCCTCTAAGGATACACAAGTGGACCCTACAGCTCAGAGAGTTTGCAGGCAGATCGTCTAGGATTAGGCATCTAGGAAGTAAATCCAGATATTTCCCACTGCTCCTCACCTTACGTGACATGAGGCCTGCACATTTTCAGATAAGAGTGAGCATCAACCAAGAAACTTTGCTTATTTGTTCCTTACAGGGCTCAGTACAGAGCCTCACACAGGCAGGTTCCAGGAACATAAAATTATCTGACGTCCTAGCCAGGGCTGGGTCCAGGAACCCAGGTCAACCTGGTTCTTACCCAGGGCTCTGGCTAAGGGTACATCTCAAGAAATGGAGCAGAAGCAAGTCAGGAAGTCTTACACCAAGGTGAGAACTGGGCCCCTGTGCTCAGGCCCCTGCAGGTCACATTCCAGACAGCCATTACTGTGCAAATCTGTCCTTGTCACTTCCATGGATTACAATCTCCCAGCCTCTCCCCATCACTTGGGGGAACTAAGCCCTTCAGTAGGTATAGAAAAAGCTATTCTTATTCTATGGATAATAAGGATTTTGTTTTCTGTTAGAAACTGTCATCTGAATTAATTAAACTGGCAAACAAATCACAGGTTGATGTTCTGTTTCCCGTTTTAAGGACTAGGATATATTTGCTGCTGAAAATGGCAGGTGACTTGATACTGAAATTTTCCATTTCGCATATTTATTTTGGTATAAAACTATATTCTCCTTATCAGAAAATGTCTGGCCCAATTTTTCTCTTTTGCTTATTGATCTTTTACTGCTATAGCTCAGTACGTGTTAATTTATGAAAGTCTGTGGTTACATTAGCTGTTTCAGTATCTGTTCCTCTGACAGGACACATTGGAGGGTGAATTGCTGGCTTACAGCTTCAGTGACTTTATGCATTTAGGGAAAGGTTATACACCCAGCCATTGAGCTAATGATGATGTTTTCACAATATTTTGTTTTTAAACTTCAGATTAATCTCCTCCTGACAGAGTACCTTGTGCTCCCCCTCAGTCAGTTACTGGGAGGATCCGCTCAAGACACAATGACTGATTCAGGATGTCTTTGTTTCTCTAGGGAAATGGTGGCTTTGATTGGACGCAGACACTCTGGAGGCCCCAGAGGTTTTAATAAATCCTTTTATGGTGTCTTTCTTGTAGGGTATCTTGCTGTAGCAGTGGTGAAGAAATCAACTGCTGACCTCACCTGGGATACTTTGAAAGGCAAGAAGTCCTGCCACACGGCAGTTGACAGAACCGCTGGCTGGAATATCCCCATGGGCCTGCTCTACAATAAGATCAACCACTGCAGATTTGGTGAGCGAATGTGGGGAAGGAGGGCTGGTGAGGGCTGTGCCAGAAAGCAGGGTCCTGCCTTAGGAAGAGGAGTGTGGCATAAGGTGCTGTGGGCTCTGGCTCTAGAAAAGTAGAATTTGGCAAAAGAACAGTAGAATTTGCTGTCCTCAAGGACATAGCAACAAGGCCTGGGAGGGCTGGAAATGGGTTGCTGAGTCGGGACGGTTCATTTCAGTTGCACATAATGGCATGAATCAATACACATTTATCTCTCATGAGAAAGAAGTGAGCAGTGCATGGCTGGTATGGTCATGAGAAACCCAGGCTCCTTCATACTCTGAGCATGAGACTTCCATCTTGAAGGTCATCCCATGGTTGCCATCACATCCATGATCCAGGCAGCCCCAATCACCAAGGGATTACAGCAAATGGGAGTTTATGCCAGCTTTTTAAAGGTTCTCTCCAGGAAGTCTAACCAGTTATTTCAGCAAACTTTTCATTGTCCAGAACTTACGTACATCACCACACCTAGCCGTAAAAAAGAAATGTAATATTTCATTTGAGAACTTCCCTATCTCAGTTAAGACCAGATTTTTTGTTACAAAGTACAAGGAGAAACAGATATTGGGTAGACAGGTAGCAATCCCTGCCACAAGGTTTTGTAGGGTATGTGAGTATGGGTGATCCCGGGTCTCTTTAGGGTGTTGGCAATCTCACCAAGTCCCTGCCCAGCTCCTAGGAGCTTTCTAAGCAGTGGAAATCATCTCATTTGCTATGTCCTCTGACTATCACCAGGTGTGGGCTTATTTCTAACCCCCTTAAACTTCTAAGTTTCCCCACAGACAGATATTTTCCAGTGGTTCTGATTTACATTAGCTTCCTAAGTACTTTGTCCCTGCCACTTCCAAATTTGGGCAACTCTAATAAAGGAAAGGCCTCTAAATCTGGCTATTCACCCAGAAAACCCTGTGGGGTCAGGGGAGTGGTGATGAGAACATGTCTCTGTACCACTGTGCTTTGTGACACCACTTAGACATGAAGAAAAGTGTGGCCGGGGTGACATTCAGAAAACTCAGGAATCCCACTGACAAAGGCACTACCTCTGCTCTTCTGAACCTCCTGGCACTTTTATGGCCACAGGAGAGCAGCTGAGCTGCAAAGAAAATTCCCCATCCCTTTCCTGAGGTTGGAATGTAGCAAAGGCTCTTGTAATGAATGGCAGGGAACGAACAGGAACATCTGAAAACAGGTGGCACAAGCTCAGGAGGCAAACCTTCAGATTTGATCCTTTTTCTGTCCCCTTTCATGGCATTTTTCATTTCTTCTTTCTTTAGCTTAGTGATGACATCATCATTGTGCTCAAATAAATCCCCTCTGCCCTGAATTGTAATGGTCATTAACTCCTTTTCCCAATCTCAATAGGTTCCCCTGTAAAGCCCATAACCTGGCAAGTCCTGGGTTGGTGGTGGCTGGTCACAGAATTAATGAATATGTTCTTTTTGTCCTGGGTCATGCAGCCCTGTTATGTGTTAGGTAAAAGCTGCTTGCATTGACTCAGGAAAAGCTGACTTCCTCTTGTCATTTGCGCAGATGAATTTTTCAGCGAAGGTTGTGCCCCTGGGTCTGCAAAAAACTCCAGTCTCTGTAAGCTGTGTATGGGCACAGGCCCAAACAAGTGTGAACCTAACAGCAAAGAGGGATACTATGGCTACACAGGAGCTTTCAGGTGAGCCTTCTAACCCTGACGCAAATAGAGTAACACATAATCCTTGGCCAGATTTCTTTTGGGCACTAAGGTAAGGTTCTTATGTTCCTATAGTGTTAGTGCTGTATGTATTAAGAGAGTAGATTTCACAACCAGATGTAGAGCCACATGGGGAGAGGCAGCCAGACTCCCCCAGGATGCTTACATGGCTGTCAAAGACAGCAGAGACTTGTGTTTGGTACAGTTTAGCAGTTTTCAGCTGGGGATGACCCCAGGTGACATTTGGCAATATCTGCAGATATTTTTGATTGTGATAATGTTGGGGCAGGGGAGGAGGTGCTACTGGCATCTAACGCATAGAAGCCGCTAAACATCCCACAATGCACAGGATAGCACGGTACAACAAAGAATTAGCCAGCCCCAGGTGTCACTAGTGCCTTGGCGATGATACCCTACTGTGGCTGAATAAACGCTGCATCGAGAATTTGGTTCAGGCTTTTCCATGCACCTCTGGATCATCTAGAACAATACTCACCTGGAAATACAGAATAGTACATGATTTCTAAATTCCTAACTACGATTGTACTTTATGGAGAGCCTATCATTCATTTTCTTAGACACACCTTGCTATTTTTTCGTTTGTTTTTCTGAGACAGGGTCTCTGTTGCACAGGCTCCAACGCAATGGTGCTCTTATGGTTCACTGCAACCTCAACCTGCTGAGCTCAAGTGATCCTCCCACCTCAGCCACCCTAGTAGCTAGGATTACGGGCATGTACCACCACAGCCAGCTAATTTTTGTAGTTTTTTTGTAGAGACAGGGTTTTGTCATGTTGCCCAGGCTGGTCTCAAACTCCTGGGCTCAAGCAATCCTCCCATCTTGGCCTCCCAAAGTGCTGGGATTATAGGCGTGAACCACCGCATCTGCCCCCACTTTTTAACTACCCATTCTGCTCCAGGCCTGCTGTTACCCGGTGATTCAGGAATCCATGAGCTGCACAATGATGATGGTATTATAACTCAGCTTCCCAGCAGTGATGTAAAAAACAAAGGTCATTCCTATTTTCTAGTTAGAGCCACTTTGTAAATTAGATTAAGTATAATTCACATTCCCCAAGTTTCTAATTTCACAAAGTAGACTGTGTTGTTTTCACAAAAATTGAAGAGTTTGGGGACTTAAAATACAGTTCCCCTTTGCATTTTTATACCTTGTCTTTTTCTGGTGATAGCATATGTTTGAGAATTACAGGTCATGAGAAAAGGCTCAAATAACATGCACGTATAAACATGCTTAAAATAAACACGTATAAAGGCTTCTTTTTCTAAACTTATCTTATAAAACTTAGCTATGAAGTCAAATGTATGAGATTGATAAAAAGACTCCAAACTCCAAAGAAAATAAAATTAAATCAATATATGGCACAATAGGTACCCTGCCTTCTCAGCTAGCTACCCCCAAAACTCTTGAACTGATACATGAAAATGCAGGTTCTTTTCCTTGAAGCAAGGGGGTTAAAGTAGATGGAGAGCAGGGTTGGGTCCATTGTCCAAGAGTCCAACCCACTCAGCTCATCGAGGAGGACCTTGTGCAGACTTTGAAGTACACACTAGTTCATCATCTGTGTGGTCTGTCTTTTCAAAGGACTGGAAGACAGTCAAAATTAAAATTGGAACCATACTAACCACGGTTTATTTTATTACTATTTTTTTTCCTGAAACTTCTTGGGGATTTGTAGCTCAGAGTTGTGTTACAACCCCCAGTACCACACCCCAGAGATATATGGCCTGGGAGTTAGTAGAGTCAAGTCACTTATGCCAGGTTTTGCCATATTCTCTGCATTTCTCAAAAACAAAAACAAAAACCCCACAACATAGTAAATGGCCCATAAATGTTAAAATTCTTTCTCAAAGGGATGAAGGATGGCACAAATTGCAATTTGTGATAGAGTGTCAGTTTCTCACAAATGTTGCCTAGACATTTGCCTTGTACAAGAATCTGAAGGAACTGGATTTTTCATTCATATACTAGGGGAGGCATCACCTCACTGGAAAATCAATTCCCTACTATCCTTGTTGATGCCAAGGAAATGATGTCATTTGTAAGAGAAGCTGTACTCAAAATTAAGATTTAGTATGTGGAACTGAGACTGTATAACTGTAATCAATTCAGAGTGTTTTGTTTCTGTTCTTTTTATTCCTTACATTGCTTACTGTTAGAATGGAAGTTACAATTGCTGTTTTCAGATGGCCATCCTGAATCTATAAGGTAGTCCCCTGAATGAGAGATAAGTCACTCTGATCTCCTCTTTTTTCTCTCCTACTGTCTGGACCTCTGCAGGTGTCTGGTTGAGAAGGGAGATGTGGCCTTTGTGAAACACCTGACTGTGACACAGAACACCGGGGGTACGTGCACCTGCTCCTCTGTCCCCATAGATCACTAGATCCTGGTTACTGGTATTCACTTGTCTTCAGGGATGCCTTTGTGGAAGTATTATGTATGCTGTCAGACTCTGAAGCTCTGATTCTCAATCTATCTGCTCAGTGAAGAGAGACATGTTCACTTGAGTGCACAGAATGATCAGGATCATGGGGCCCCAATGGCCCTAAATCCTCCTCAATGCACACTCCCACAGCTGCAAGCCTTGTGCTCCTTTCCCCTAAATACTTCAGTGCCTATTTCCTATAAATAAGACAACCTCTTGCATACCCACAGTACGATTACCAAGATCAGGACATTTTACATTATGTGGATTTAATACTTGTCACATCCACAGTACACATCTAAATGTTGTCAGTCATCCCAGTAATGCCTTTTATAGCTATTTTCTGTATTTCTGGGTTGTGTCCACTGAGAAGGCCTAGAGGCAATGGCACACCAGCAGGAGTAAGCATCAACATATTGGCTTGCAAGTTAATCTTCTTTGCTAAAAGGAACCAGAACTCCTTGGAAAAATAGCTGACTTCAGGACTGGGGCAGGAAAAATACATGTTGAGCCTAGAACACCACACTGAAGTGCTCAAGCAGTGATGGGACACTCAATGCATATAAGAGCCAGTTAGAAGGCTCTCCTGTTGCCAAGTCTGGGAATGTTGAGCATTAAAATAAGTAATGGTAGCAGTAAGGGTTAATAGCCCATTGAAAGAAATAAGAATGCATGAGGCAATACTGATTAAACAAGCGAAGAAGGGAAAACTAATGAATGTGGAAGGAATGACAGAGTTAGAAAACTGTCACTTGGCAACCAATATATTGATAACTGATTCAAGTAAGAATCATCAGTGGGTGTTAACTTGTGGGTGAATGTTGGACAGCCATGACATTAAAAACAAAGCAAAACAAACATTGGCCTCACATCTGACTCCTCAGTATCCCTAAATGCTGGGAGAGCCCACTAGAATTCAGGCTGTGAATACTTCCCTGCCTTCTCTCATGCTCATTCCTCCAACTCCTCACCTTTCCTGGGCAACTCATCCAGAACGAACCAGCTCAGCAGCAGCCCCTCCAGGAAGCCTTCCCAGATGGCATGCCCCATCCTACAAGGAGGACCCTCTGTTCCTGTTGTATTATGATTGAATTCACCACATTCTGTCATACACTTTGGCTATAGAAACTCTTTGAGTTCTTTTTCTTCCTCTTATATTCCCAGGACCTAGTGTAGCACATAGCACACAATAGTTGCTAAGAATTTGTTTGACGAATTATTGGATTGACTAATTTTCCTTTCTTCCCTCATATTATTTTTGCTTGTTCCTTTAAGGGCTCTCCTTCTTCCTCCTGCCAGAGTGTTAACCTCAGCTTGGTTCTTTGTCACCCTTGATTTCTTTCGGTACTTTTCTGAGGACAGCTCCCCTCTCTAAGCTTTGACCCTCTACTCTTTGCAATGACTCAAAAATTCTTACCTCCTGAATAGAATTTAGATAGGAGGCCTGACCCCTCATCTCAATTCCATTCCACTCTATTTCCCGAGGTGTCACTTTATGTGCACAGTACACTCGCATTGCAAAACCAATTGTCCTCATCTTTCTGTCAAAGTTCCCTCCTCTTCTCCTAGCCTCTATCCCTAAAAAGAATCCTGCTATACTCCCTGGCTGTCAGGCCTAGATTAAGTCTGTCAGTCGATATCTTATTTCTTCACAGTGTGTCTTTTTTTAGAACTAGAACTAAATTTTATTGTGTCCATTTAAGGCAGAAAACATCACTTTATAAAAGCCAAGGTAATTTTGATGTATTGTAAGTTTGGGAACTACTGGTCTAATACCCCTGATTTAATATCACATTCCTGATAAATATCACTAACTATAGATCACACCAGGTCTGATTCATCATACTTACATTTTTGCACCTTCTGCCATTAATTGTTTTCTTTCTCAACTTTTATTTTAGATTGGGGGTGCATATGCAGGTTTGTTACCTGGTGTATTGCATGATGCTGAGTTTTGGGTATGATTGAACCTGTCACCCAGGTAGTGAGCATAGCACCCAGTAGGGAGTTTTTCAACCCTTGCCCCCATCTCTACCTCCTCCAAAATCTGTCTTAAGTGCCATGGTATATACAAGCAAGAACCAAGACACAAACACACATGGGCTTTTTTTTTTTTTTTTTTTTGAGATGGAGTCTTACTCTGTCACCCACACTGGAGTGCAGTGGCACGATCTCGGCTCACTGCAACCTCCGCCTCCTGGGTTCAAGTGATTCTTCTGCCTCAGCCTCCTGAGTAGCTGGGACTACAGGCACGTGCCACCACGTCCAGATAATTTTTGTATTTTTAGTAGAGACGGGGTTTCACCATGTTGGCCAGAATGGTCTCAATCTCTGGACATTGTGATCCGCCCACCCTGGCCTCCCAAAGTGCTTTGATTACAGGTATGAGCCACTGCACCCAGCCTACATGGGCTTTTTTGTCTCAATTTGTGTGTGTGTGTGTGTGTGTGTGTGTGTGTGTGAGTGTACTGTATGTGTGTGTAGGAAAAAGAATGTTAGAAATGTACTAATTTTGAAGGTGTAGGCTATGAAATTACAAATGCTTCAAAATTTTCTTCCCAATACTATGTAGCATTTTACAAATTCCCATCAATAAATGTGTATTATTTTTTACTGAAAAAGTATATTTTTAACATGCCCTTCTAGATGCCCTTCTAGCCAGACTGAATCACCTCTCATCTAATTTGTCTTAATTTTCTACCTTTAGGTTCTGGCTCATTCATTAACATCAATTTCCTCACAAATCCACTTTTCCTCTTCCCTGAGCACCTCACATATCCCACTGCCTGCGATGTTCGAGAGGCGGGTCTCCTCTCTCTGTGAGAAACACCAGGCACACACCTGCCCCCACTCTCACCTGCACTCTTCTTTCCTCCCACAGAGGGGCATTCCTTTCTCCTCCTCTCCTCCTACACATACTATAAGAAACATCTGAAATCTTGCCGTCTCCAGCCAGTTTCTTAATTCATTTGTTCTCAAAGCCCTGGTTTGAGCTCACACAGCATCTAGAGTGTTTCACAAAATATAAAATATTATTACCCCTGGCCCGAATTTTTGGTTTTGGTATGTGTGTTACTTTCCCCTCCAATAAGATTGTGCCTTGGAGAGGGCTGAGAATAGAGTACTAGTATTATAAATAATAAAAAAAACCATAAAAATGCACAGAGCCTTTGAACTAACTATTCCACTTCTATGTAAGCACAATTATATGCCAGTAACACTAATTTTAACACTATTGTAGTGGCAAAAAAGTGTAAATGCCTCAAATACCTATTAAAAGAGGAATGGTTTAAAAATATTATTATAGCCATACTATGAAATATACTATAGTAGTTAAGAAGAATGAGCTTGATTTATATGTACTGACAAGAAGAATCTATAAGTTATGTAAACAGTTGAAAAAAAGCTACAGCATTTTACATTTGTCAAGATCTAACACTAAACAAAATTAGAAATATGTGACATCCATATAGACACATAAAAAAATACATATAATGAGACATGAATGGGAACTCCCAAATGTGATATTACGGACTAACACTATAAGACTGAGCAAGATTTGGGTAGTATAGGAAAGGAGGCTTTTAGTTAATATAGGGAGATATTCAAAAATTTATGAGTGTGATCGCATGTACTAGTTATTTGGTTAAAGAAAGAAAATTAAATGAAAAATTCATTTTTCCTTTTTTATTATTTTTATTTACTTATTTATTTTTAAAGGCAAGGTTTCACCATCTTGGCCAGGCTGGTCTTGAACTTCTGACCTCAGGTGATCCACCCACCTTAGCCTCCCAAAGTGCTGAGATTACAGGTGTGAGCCACCACACCCAGCTGAAAAATTCATTTTTAAAAAGGTCACAATCCTGAATTATGGGAGACAAATAAAAATTAGTAAAACATATTTGCGAAGTGCCTCAGGAGGAAGGAGCCAAAACCCTAAGAATGGGTGAGATTTTCCTTTTTTTAGAACTACAGAAAAGAAAAGGCAAAGGAGGCCAAGATAGGATACGGACGTATATCACACAGGCCTGTGCACATTCTCACTTAGAATTGGAACAAGGGAGTCAGATTTAAAATTCTGGTGCAGATTCCAGAGGTGTCCCCTGCGGAAAAGTTCTTTTGTTTGGAGATGCCATATATTACACCACAGAAATTGATCCACCTGGCTTAGAGTGTCACACTCTTCCTGTGCTGGAGCAAGAGGTACAGAAGACTTTGGAATTTAGTGGCAAGGAAGATCTTTTTGAAGAGCATCCACAGAATGTAGTTCACTCCCACCTGGTTGGGTGGGGAAGGTTGGGAAGGGGTGGTCAATAAGCATTCCTGGCAGTTGTGAGTCTGGTATTGCCTTGTAGACCACATGGGTGTCTCTTCCTGTCCACATCACTATAACCCCAGTGTGGGCATTTCTGCTGGCCAGAAGGCCCAGGTTCTGTACACACCACTGAGTCAGTCCCATCTCCCCAGTGGGGTACTTTGACCAAAGCCACCAGCCGATCCACCTTCTTTCTATCCCTAGGAAAGAACCCTGAAGCGTGGGCTAAGAATCTGAATGAAGACGATTTTGAGTTGCTGTGCCTCGATGGTTCCAGGAAGCCTGTGGAAAAGTATGCAAGCTGCCACCTGGCCCGAGCCCCCAATCATGCTGTGGTCACACGGAAAGATAAGGCACAATGTGTCCAACAGATGCTATTTGACCAGCAGGTATGGACCAGCCAGGGCCTCCCACCTTTTCTTCCTAGATGGCTATAGGTTATTTGGGGGGAGTTTACAACTAAGTGCAGCCATGACTCTGGCACTTTCTTTTTTGAGAACTAAAATTTCATGCATTGTGCCTTTCATGCCATGCATTGTGGACTAGAATATCAGGGTTCAAATCTCAGCTCCACAGCTTCCTAGCTGTGCCATCTTGGGTATATTATATAACTGCTCCATGCCTTAGCTTCCTCATATATAAAGTTGTAATAATAATACTTTTCCCTACTTCTTGGTTAATATGCGTATTAAGTGAAGACATGCACCCAAAGGGCATAGGAAAATGCCTGCTCTATAGGACATGCTCACACATTAGCTGTGCAATTATGGAACTAGACCTCCCAGGCTCAGCTCTGCTTCTAGCTCCTGGTCACTGGCAATTAGTCCCCATCTGATCCATGCGCCCTCAGGACCAGGAATATGCCTTTCTGCTCCCGCTAAGTACTCTCATTTCCCCTACTCCTGTCCTTCCCAAAAATGAAGACGACAGACCCTGTTTCCCAGCACTTGTTGATACAAGTCACGAAGAGTGGATTTCTGTTCCTCTTGCCTAGACAGACTGAGCACTGTTCTCAACTGTCTGAAAAACACAGGACCCCTGCCCTTGGAGAGCCTGCCTTCTCGGGGGACAACCTTACCTTTTTTTTAAAAAAAAACTAAGATAGCGTATATTTAGAAGTCCTTTTAAGGTACATGGTGACAATAATGAGCATGTAACAAACATTTCCTAGCTGCTATATGGAAAGTTGAACATTTTGCGGTCATCATTTCACTTACAACCTTTGGAGACCTGGAGGAGTGGCTTGCCCAAGAAAGGATTCAAAATTCAGTCACACATGAACTTTTTTTTTTTTTTTGAGATGGAGTCTTGCTCTGTCACCCAGGCTGGAGTGCAGTGGCCCAATCTCGGCTCGCTGCAACCTCTGCCTCCCGGGTTCAAGCAATTCTCCTGCCTCAGCCTCCAGGGTAATCTCAGCCTCCAGCTGGGATTACAGGCACCCACCACCATGCCTGGCTAATTTTTGTATTTTTAGTAGAGCCTGGGTTTCACAATCTTGGCCAGGCTGGTCTCAAACTCCTGACCTTGTGATCTACCTGCCTCAACCCCCCAAAGTACTGGGATTACAGGCGTGAGCCACCACACCCAGCCTCAGACATGAATTTTTAACAGCTACCTCTGCTGCTCCTCTGGGAAGATTCACGTTTAATATCTTCTTGGACAATAACATCTCAAAGGACCTATTATTGTCCTCTCATTTCCTATAAGCAGCCCCCAATGAAGGGCAATGAAGTGGGGAAGAGCGATCAGAGTAGGCAGGCATGGGTGGTGGGTGGGAGGGACTTCTCAGAGGAAGGTGGGACTGGGGACCCTAAAGATGATTTTGAAGGCATCATGAAAACATGGAACTGGGGCCCTAAGTGGGTAAATGGCAGCTAAAGGAGGTGGAAAATTCCCAAGGCGTACTCTATAGCATCCCTTTTTCCCCAGGGCTGATTCAGAGCTTTCAGACTCTTCTGATCCATGTGTTCCCAGCTGCTAAAGACCACAGGTCCTCACGGACTTTCTGCTCACTTGACAGAAAATATTTGGAAGCAGCGTGCCTGACTGCTCGAGCTACTTTTGCATGTTCCGATCTGAAACCAAGGACCTTCTGTTCAGAGATGACACACAATGTTTGGCCAAACTTCATGACAAAAACACATATGAAAAATACTTAGGAGAAGAATATGTCAAGGCTGTTGGCAACCTGCGAAAATGCTCCACCTCACGTGAGTAGGAGGAACAGCATGGGGAAGTGGCAGCCAAACGTGGTGATTGCTGGGGTGGTGGGTACAGGAGGGGTAGACTGCGGCCCTCGGGATAGGACAGCATGGACAAAATGAAATGGTCAGTGAACAATCTAAGCCCAGCATGTATGACAGGCTAGCCTGAATGGGCAGATAGTACGGGGACACAGGCTCAGAGCACTAAGGTAGTGAACTTATTGAACATAGAGAATTCCATCTTATTTCTAAGAAAAGGACCAGGTTTATGTGCACATGCCATTGCTCTGCAGTAAACTTTTGCTTAAAGTTGCCTTGTCCAATATGGTAGCCACCAGCAAGATGTGACTATTTAAATTTAAGTTAATTAAAATTAAAGTAAATAAAAGATGTATTTCTTCAATCCCACCCAGCCACATTTCAAGTGCTCAACAGCCACATGTGGCTCATATTGGTCAGTAAAGAGAATGTTTGCATCATCATAGAAAGCTCTTACAGACAGCGCTGCTTGAGAGCTTCAACAATGATAGGTTCTGGTAATGATCAAGTTGCCATACATACTACTCATTTGAAATACCAGTTTCCGAGCATTGAAATACAATAAAACACACCTTTGCAGTATAACTATGTTGGGTGTAACTGAGTCACCTGAAAAAGTTTGGACGATGTCGGGGAATAACATGTGGTAGTGTAGGGCAATTACTCTTTCCACAGGAGTATACCGTTAAGGGAGTCTTGATCCTTATTTAAATGCTAATTCTCAGAGCCTTGAGATACTGATTTAGCAAGTCTGTGCTAGGTCAGGTATCTGCATTTTAAAAGTTGCCCCCATGTAATTCTGATGGAAGCAGCATTGTGCTTGTCTAGGTTCACTGTTGTGAGAATCAAGTTGATATTTACCTAACCTATATCCTCCACAAGGGGAGACAGTCTGGCTCTGCTGTTCTCTCCTCCATCCTTATCCCTCAGCACAGAAACTAGCACATTGTAGGTGCTTTTTGACAAGTCAGTTCTTCACTTGCTAAAAAGGTCAGGGAGGACAGTCTCCCTGGGCGACTCCTGGCCTCATGAACTCAGATGTGTGACCCTCCCCCAAAAGAAACAAAGTGGGGAACCCTAGAGGGCAGGAAAATCATGTTACAGCTTCGGCATGGGGCACTCCTCAGGATAGGCACAGGAGCTGTGCAGGCAAGTAGAAAAGAGCACTGGGAGAATTGCCCAGTTCACAGAAGAGGAGGCAGCAAGTCTGCGCACCTTTGTTGAATTCACCTATGCTGAATTGTTCATTCACTCAACAGCTCAGAAATATATATAGGAAGATTTTGAAAATCCTACCTCTCTGCTCTGTTCCACAGCACTCCTGGAAGCCTGCACTTTCCACAGAACTTAAAATCTGAGAGGTGGGGCCGCCACCAAGGTGGAGATGGGAGCTCAGATGATCCATGAGTTTGCCGTGGTTCCGCTGGCTCGAGTGGTTTATGCTAACCACGTCTGTCTTCACAGTTCTGTGTTG